TTTACCTAGCAATCTATGAAGTAGGTTCTACTTTTTAATTCCTATTTATGAGAATCTGTGTCTCAGAAAGACTAAGTAATTTGCTGACATTACACATCAAGATATGAGTGGACTATAGATTCAAAAACTTAGTTTGTTTAGACTTTACTCCTCCAACTACTATTCAATATTGCTTTGAGGCTATACAATTAAATTATGTTCAGCATAGTTTTCATGTTAAATGTATTTTTTATTTAATGTCAATATATGTAATTCCTTGAAAATTTTAAGTAAAAGATAGCTATGTAAATTTGCCATGTCCAACTATTTATGTGACTAATCTCAGGAAAAAACTTTACAAAAGGAGAAAGTAATGTAAGTAATTTTAAGTTTATATGATTAAAAAAAGACATTTTGTCATCTCAAAATCTTGAAAACATTTTTACAAAAGACTAACTTGAAAGAACTCAAATTGTTTTTTTTAAAAAGTTGTTATTTGCAATTGCACGGATTCTAACAAAATACAAACTCCTGCTTTTATTTCAGTGACAGGGTTCTTAAATTGTTGCTGAAATTTATTAAGAGTATCAAATGGATGTTGTAAATAGCAGAACATTCCACTTGTTTTCCAATACTTATTGCTCAGGAAAAAGGCTATTTCTAATAGCTAAGCATGCAGAAAATATAACTTATTAATGAGGATAAATTTAGAAGTTAAAGTTAGCAAATAAAACTGTAAGCGTCTAAAGATTATTGTAAACTTTGGATCACTGCAGAAAACTTTAAGTAAGACCTGTCACTACACTTCAGGCAAACAAAGCAGCGTATACCCTAGACTGAAACTATGAAGGGTTTTATACATTTAAGGAATGACGAGAAGCTTAGTGCTGCAGGAAAGTAAGTTGTGTTGTGGGAGTAGATGTGGAAGCTGAAAAAAACAGTTTAGAACGGAACTATGAGGAACTTTCTATGTCAAATTAAAGTTTGCATTTTATTCTGTAGGGTATCAAAGGTTAAAAGAAGTTCTCAAGAAAGTAGCCAAATGATGACTATTCTATTTAGAAAAAAACTCTTGTAATGGTGTTGGGAAGAAGTTGAGAAGAGACTAGTAAAATGAAGATTGGTTTATTACAATATTCTCAGAAAGAGATAATGAGGGCTTGAAATAAAGATAATACATTATGGATTTAAAAGGGGGATTAATTTCAGGGTTACATTTGATATAAAATCAACAAGATTTGGTGAATGCATTTTGGGCAAAAATTAAAACAACAAAAAAGAAAAAGTTAAGAATAATACTAAGAGTTTTAGTTTAGGAGACTGGATAGATAATGATGTCATTAATGGACATTGAGGACAAAAAGGTAATTTACAGTTTAAAGCATTTGCACACATGTTGTCACATTTAAGATGATATTTATGTTATAAATTACTATTATTGCTCTGATAAAAACTTAATCTCATATGCAAATAAATGTACACAGCATCCTGGTTTTCTTCTTCTTCTTCTTTTTTAATTTTTCAGCACAGAGTCTTGCTCTGTTCCCCAGGCTGGAGTGCAATGGCATGATCTTGGCTAGCTGCAATCTCCACCTCCCAGGTTCCAGTGATTTTCCTGCCTCAGCCTCCTGAATAGGTAAGTTTACAAACACCCACCACAATGCCCGGCTAATTTTTGTATTTTTAGTAGAGACAGGGTTTCACCGTGTTAGTCAGGCTGGTCTCGAACTCCTGACCTCAGGTGATCCACCTGCCTCGGCCTCCCAAAGTGCTGGGATTACAGGCTTGAGCCACCGTGCCCAGCCAGTATCCTGGTTTTCTTAAATATTTTCCCCTAGTGCTTATCACTGACTTGATGAAAAGTGCTGTTTGTGTTATGTATAGCCATATTTATTTTAAATATTTTAATAAGTGATAAAGTTTTCTTCTCTAACTGCTATATTTAATTTAAATATTTTTGTTAGTGATTCTTTTAACTATTTGAAATATATTTTATTATCTTTCAGTTTGAAGCAAACTTTTAGGTCTAGTATATTTATTCATCTCTTAGATAATTTATTAAAAGTAAAAGGGAAAAACTGCCGTGTCACATTTCTGGCCCTACCATGAAATGAAAAGGATGCTAAAACCACTAATATTTAAAGTCAATTTTGGACTCTTAAGGTTTTATAGCTCAGCATAGTTTTCATGTTAAATGTATTTCAATATGATTATAAAAGCAAGTCTCTTAATGTATAAAACCAAAGCAAAATAACACAAAAACAAGAAACTTAAGGCACTTTCAAGACACCATAAATCCATTTGGATTGGTAGATGAATGAACCGTGGAGTCATTTCATTTCTTCTAATTAACGGAGGTACTTAGAGGCACCAGGGATACAAAAATTAATAAATCCTTGTCCTGATTAATGGAGTCTAGTCGAGAGGACATATAAACCGCTCAGTACAATAAGACATTTTAAGTATTCTACAGTTAGAAATAAATTGCTATAGGAAGTAGATTCAAGTAATTCTGCCCAGCGATTGTCTAGAGCAGGGAGGAGGAAGAGAAGCTTTCACAGTAGAGGTAACTTTTGAGTAGGGCCTTTTAAGGCTTAATAAGAATTTGCCAGGGGGAGAAAGTAAAGGGGTTTGAGAGCACGCATAAAAGAGCAAGAAAATAAACATTCTGGTGTAGGCAGCATGGGGGCAATTTTTTTTAAAAGAAGCCGAAAGAGTTAAGTAGGACCTAGCAGTGAGGATGTGACATACCATGCTTAAGGACGTTAGACGTGATATCCCAAGATACTGAGTGAATTTCTGATTGAACTCTAATGGGAGATTGTGTCATATCTTCAGTTTGGGGTTTATCTCATGAACTCATTAATTCTTCTATTCATTCAGAGTTGAACTATAAGAAGACACCCTGCTAAAATAAATCAGATAGTTGCTGTCCTTAAAGCTCAGTTCACTCTTATTAAGGAAGGGTAAGAACTTTCAAAGGAAGTGTTGGATAAAGTGATACAGAAAAATGTGACATTTGAAATGGGCTTTGAGGCATGGGTAAGATTTTGACAAATCTCATTTATATTTTGATTATGATGAGTTGAAGACACAAGTTTTTTGCATTTCTCACTTATAACTGGTTTATTTTCTAGGTAGAATTTAAAAAAAAATAAAGGAAAACGCCACATAAATAGTGGTTTCAATAGGTATTGTTTGAAATGGCAGTGGCCATTGGTATGTTTAAATAAGTAAATGCAAGAAAAGACTCATTTTTTTGGCCTTCATTGCTGTACGTTTCTTCAGGGTAGAGAAAGTAACTGTACATTTCTGTATCTTGGAGTCAAATAATTGTTGAGTTAAATGTAATACTTCTGGGTTTTATTTGGATTTTAATTCTTAAACAATGTAGAGTTGTTAAATGATGATGTGATGGAGATATAAAAAATAATGTGCTCTTGGGCAAACTAGAAAGGTGAAGAAATAATCAAGCACCAAGTTACAGACCAATGTAGACTAGAAATCACAATCAATGGCATTTACTTTACAGATTAAAAAAAAACTTGCTCCCAATATCACACTAGTGCACCAGTTATATACACCTTAGCTATACAAGTCACCCCTTGTGGGCTCACCATAGGCATAGAACAGAATGGATTAGAAAGGAATGTAGATTTATGGAAAATTTGGGATTAAAAAAAGCAATAGAACATAAGATACACAGAAGAAGAACTTGGAGAATTCACTGATGTAGAATCTGAACCACTGCCACATTCTTATTTATAATGTTAATGAATGCTTATGCTGCAGGGCTTTTTACAAACTTAAGTAAACATTTCTCTAGAGGAATTTACACTGAAGTAATCACAATGTATCTAGGAGTATTTTAAAAGACAGGAAACTGGCGAGCATCATATTACCTAAAGTAGGCTAGTTATATATTTCCATCTATGCTCCCAGGGGTTCTGAAGTTAGGATTCCAGTTGCATGTTATTGTAGTTATTATAAATTTTATCATAAAACATACCAAGCTTGAAACAACCATCAAGGGGATTGAGGTGTTTATTACTGAGCAGTAATTACATGTTTTTAAATAAACATGTATATAATAATATTTTAAAAATAATTTTCTTTTTTATGATTACAGAATTCACAAAACCAAAAATTGACTGGAAATCATAAAGAAGTGATTCTCAAAAAAAAAAAAGAACCCAAGAAATAGCATCGAAAAATTTGTTAGTAGGTATGAGTCAGACTTGTATTATTATTATGTTTAAACTAAATGGAGTAGTTCAAACATGTAATTTTTATCTCTAAATAATTTTATCCACAATATTTGAGAAGAAATCACCACAGCACATCGTAAACTATTTTTTTTTACAGTCTTAAGTGAAGAATAATAATTATCTGGATAATAATTTCCCTCAGATTGTCAGACTATTAAGTACTGGTGCCTTCTTCCCCCAAAACACACTTTATTAGTGAAGTAGAAATATTAATATAATATTAAGTGTCACTTGAACGATTAAAATTTTTTTCCAGTCACAGAGAGATTTGGTCTGGTGTCGACGGAACTACAGGATTTTACTGGACGAGTCACTCGAGCATTGTAGAGATGCGGTTTCTGAGGTAAACAGAATTTCAAAATTTAGAAAATAAAGTTGTTACCATTCACAATTTTTTTTTTTAAGTACGAGATTCTAACTTTTCCCCTGCGTTCTACCAGACGGAAAAAAAGCATTTAGACCCGCTGCAGTCGTGGCATTAGAAAAAGGCGCTAAAAAGAGGCAATGTAACGGCCCAGGGTGCTCCGAGCTTCAGCGGAGAGACAGCCGGGGCGCATGGGTGGGGGCAGGGAGGGGCGGGGCTGAGAGAGGAGGGGCGTGGCTGAGGCCGGGGCTGTAGAGGGGCGGATTCGGGGCGGGGAAAGCCCTAAGATCAGGCTGAGGCTAGGCCATGAGGGGCGTGTCAGGGGCGTGACCAGGGCGGTGCTGGAACTTCCCGTTAAGAGGTTGGAGCCCAGCCGGGACTCGGACAGATCCTTTCCATTCGCTGTCATGTCGCTCCCTCAGCCCACGCCGCGGGTGGCGGAGCTCAGGGAACCTGCCTCCTCTTTAACGTCTCCTGGGGACCCGGATTCCCAGCCACCCGGTAGCAAGCGGCTCTGTCTTGAGGAGCCAGGCGGTGTCTCTAAAGCGGGTTGGCGACTGCCTCTGGTGCCTCGCTTGTCTGAGGCGGAAAAAGTCTGGGAGTTGCCGCCCAGACCCCTCAAGGGGCTCCTTGTTTCAACGAATGCTATTTTTGATAACTTCACAGACTCATGTGTGGAGAAATCAGTCAGTGGGAAGCAGATACGTAACCTGGGATGTCCAAATCACAAATTCCAAATGAATAGCTGTTTGCAGGCTTCCCTCTCACAAAGTTCTGGTTCTGATTTGAGGGCTTCAAGAACGTCTCAGCCAGGACTGCGTGACAGAGAGACTTTCAGTGTGCACTATACTGATAGCTCCAAAGCAGGGTTTAGCCACCTTCTGCCCAGCACCTCTATACACTATATACATGGAATTAGAAACGAGAATCGAAAACAGCAGTTAGTCCAAGGAAGAGACAATGTTCACAAAGAAAATGCATTTTTAGATGTTACCTTTTACAAGGAAACTAAATCACCATTTCATGAAATTAAGAACAGCTGTAAAGCTGACAGTGTTATGCCATCAAATAAAAAAGAAAATAACATTTCATCATCCGCACTAAAAATATCAAAATCTCAAAACCGGCCCAGCTTGGAAATTGCCAAACCTAGCTATTTTAGAGATAGCAGCACAATAAGTGTCCCTCAGTTTCCAACGGACTTAAATAGCAAAATGTCCTCTGTCTATTTAAAGGAAATAGCAAAGGAAAAGAATGACAAAAAAGAGACATATGTTAGGGATTTCGCAAACATTTACTGGTCCCAAAATAGACCTGATGTTAAGAAGAAAAAGTTACAGAATGATAAAAAAATTGTAGAAGCGGAAAATATATTTTTCGAATGTTGCGAAAATGACTATGCGTCACTCAGCAGCCAAAATACTTGTAAGAGAAAAGACTTGATCAATTCAAACTACTGTAACTACAGTAGCATCCACTGTGATGTAAGAGACACTGGAAAGAATTTTGCTATACTAGAAAATGCAAATTTGGAGGAAGCAGAATGTCTGGACATTTACATACCTACCAGATTGGAAAAATGTCAAAACTGGGACTGTAACATTAGTCATATTTTGAGAAGAAATAGAGGAAATTGTGGGATTATGAATAATTACAAGACTAACTATGAAAATATGAAAGAAACTGAAGAAAAATGGAATTGGCTATTATTAGAAATAGACCTTTTAAGCAAGGAAGATTACCACTGTACAAAAGTCATGAATGTGTGTGAAGAACAATCAAAACTTCTCATCAGAGAAATGTTAAGTAGTCAGAAAGCTTTAATAATGACTGTTTGGTTAAATGGTAAAGGAGAAAATGATAATATTCTACAGTTGAGATACAATGCTACACGGAAATTCTTTCATGTAAGCAATGCTTTTGAAAGTTTCATTATAGAAATTTTTTATTTCCATAAAAGTATTTCAGGAAATCAAAAAGATAATAGTGTTTTAAACTGCTATAACATTTTGAAGTATAAAAAGCAAATTGGTATTCAAAATGTAATAACCAGAAACATGAATACAAATATGAAGAATGGAATTATAAGCATATGTTTACAAGACAGTGTTATAGAACCTTTAGATATTATATTGAAAACTAACATAGCTTTTTGGCTCAATAACTTTGACTCTTTAACTATAATTAAAAATGATTTTGAATTAGAAGAGGAATGCATTTTCAAGTGGATGCTGTATTTGAATTATCCAAAAAATATTATAGTGGAAAATTACCCTGCATATGTAGTAAGGATTTTAACTTCTTCAAGACTATTAGAAGATCATATGAAACCTATGTTAAAGAAAAGGAAGCTATTTAGAACTGAACAAGCTTTTGAAGAGTCTAGGAAAAAACGTATTAATTCCTTCAGTATGACAACTCAAAATACAGGTTTTCCAATTTTTAAAACATATGAAAAAATTCCTCTTTTAATGGACTTCGATGACATGGAAAAAAATTATTTAATAAGAGAAATTACTTGTAAGAATATGAGTTGTCCTCAACAACTCATGAATGTGGAAAATTGGGCTCACTATAGTTCAAGTACTATTAAAACACATGTTAAGTCTTGTCCTCAATTTATACAGAACAACCATGGATATATGAATGAAAATTTTAATGAAGTAAATATGCAAAGCCAAGATTTAAATATGGAAAGAAAACAGGGACATAATAAAAGCAGTAGCTTTGATTGTAAGCACATATTTGAAGATTTCTGCAATGTTAGGCAACAGGCCATGCCAGTAAGCCACAACATAATTCGTGATGAACAGACCTGTACCATTTCTATAACTCAAGTGCTAAATTTTGGGAACTTGCTAAGTGAAATAGAAGAAAAACACCATGACTTAATTTTGAAAGAGGAAGTAAAAGTCACAGCTGAAAGTTTATCAAATAGTTTCCAAGTCCACAGAGATACTGAGATAGAAAAGGAAGAGAAAAATATTTTTCCAATGGATGACATGTTTTCTGTGCAGTCAGTTTCATTAATAAGTAAGGAAGTAAATGTGGAAGAAACTAAATATGTTAATAAGAATTATGTAACAGATAGAAATGAATACGAGAGTATTTTGCCAGAAAGGGAGATAGCTAATTCAAAGCATTTTCATCAAAAGAATGACTCTGCATTATATGTTAATCATCAATTTGAAACTGGTCTGAGTGAAGGGAATGATGAATGTTTTCAGGACTTAGCTGCTAAATGTTTATTAACAGAAGCTCTGACAATAGTAAAAGATTTTGAGATGAGAAGAAAATTTGATTTAGTACTTGAAGAACTTCGTATGTTTCATGAAATTAGTAAGGAAAATGAAATTCTAAGCACTGTGGAAACAAACAATGAGCAAGAAAATTACTTTAGAGAAAATAATGATGCTGAGGAGGTGAAAATGGAGATAGAAAAAGATTTGAAAATGGTTGTGGTCAACAAAATAAGTGCATCTTCCTCGCTCCATGACACTACAGCAGGTCCTAATATGCGTAAAAATCACCAAAGTTTATTTAAATGGAAAACTGTACCCAGTAATGGAGAACAGGAAGTTCATAATGAGAGTTGTTATCCAAGTACATCAGAGGAAGAATTACTTTATTCTACTTCTGAGAATGGTATGAAATTCATTTTAAAACATTCTTTCTCATTTTTTCCAAATAGGCCAAATATATAATTTTGACAAAAAAGAAGAAAGGTAAGGATAAAATGCAAGACAATGTTTATTGGTGCACACTATTTTCTTTCTTTTATTTTTCCAACAAGAAGCCATAGCTTTATTTATGATAGAAACAGTACAAATTTCAAACCAAGCTGCAGTTACTCCTTTGAAACACCAAAAAAAAAANAAAAAAAAAAAAAAAAAAAAAAAAAAAAAAAAAAAAAAAAAAAAAAAAGCTGTTTTCAGATGGATACATTGTCAATTCCGTAATAGCACTCAACCATATCATTACTTGTACTTCAGGGTTCAGACTGCCTTTGCTGTTGACACATTTCCTTGTGACATGACCAATTCTATGTCCTTAACTTCTACACCTGTTTCATCCACGTCTTCCTCTTCACTCTCCTCTTGTACAGTTGGAGTCTGTGTGTTTTCTTGAATGTTTGAGACAGCTTCACCTTGAACTTTGAGATAGCTTCACCTTGCACTTTAAATTTCTCAGCAGCTGCCAGCTGTGTGCACACTATTTTCTTATAAAGATGTATTCAAATGCTCGATCATATACTGAAATTGAAGAAAACAGGCTAATTTTAAAAAGGAGCTTTGTGGAGTCCTACTTCATTTCTCTAAATATTAGGAGCCAACTGAAGGAAATATTTCTGAAAAAATAATTTGTTTATACTGTTAATGCTTTATATAAAAGTTACTTTTTGCTGTAACATGTCACTCTTTATTTTCAGATTGTGAAAGACCTTTAACAAAAAGACCTGCTTTTCTCCATGAGGAATGTAAAGAAGAACTTAATTATTTATTGAGAGGAGGTAACATTTTAGTTACTTTTTAGAATACTTTCTAAGATGATTATTGCATTATGATATTTTTAGTATGAGGAAAGTGTAGATGTTCAAGTTGTTCAAAATAAATACAAAATTTTAGCAGTTTTTAAAAGCATTGATATACTGATAAATTCTAATAATTAAAAATTGGGTAACAGTTAAAACTGCATTCAGATATTTGCATTGATGTATTAAAGTGACTATACGTTAAGTGTTATATATGCCCAAGTTTATACATCTAATGTATGCAATATTAACAAAACCAAAAAAAGTATGTAGCTGTTGAGTTTCCATTGATGAGATGTTATTCCCAATTATTATGTCTATCTATCTAAATATATATAAAGAGAGAACATTGAGCATAGAGAACATGCTGTATGCTTTTTATTGTTATTCATTGTTATGAAGCTTTTTGTGTTGAGATTTTATTATGCAAATTAAAAAAGTATCATTTAGTCATGTTAACATGATTTTTGACTGATGTTTATAAAACTTTTGATTACATTAAAAATACAACTAAAGAAAAATTAAACACTACCTTTTCCCCAATAGTTCTATAATATCAGAATAAAACACAGTATGTATAACATTCATTCTACCTTGTGGTGCCAAGGGTATGGGTAGGTGTAGGATTGAAATTATGAAACTAGGTAAAGTTATAATCCGGTCAGAAATTTCTGGTATTACACAACAAGTTTAGATCTAAAAAGAGTAATATTGTAGGTGAAATATATTTACTAAAACATCTTAAGTCATGTATCATGTCTCAAAACATTTTTTCTGCATTCTCATAATCAGTAGACTGTTACTTCTGATACTTTTATTGTCACCTCAGAATTGTATCTTTTCCTCTTTTCTTAGCTTACAATGAAATAGTTTTAAAAATTAATCAAACCATTGGATGATCAAAAGCCCATAGGTAGTCTCTTCTCCCTGGATGAAGGAAATAACTGATGGAACAATATTCCATGAGTCAAAAAGTAGAATGGCAAGAATTATCCTGGAAAGGATAGAGTTTGCTTCTTCTAAGACAGAAAGAAAGGAAGAAATTAGCTTAAGAATATATTTTGATGTAGAATAAAGTAAGATTAGGAACATATACCCATGCTGTCATTGTGATTATAGGTGTGATAATAAAATGAATGTAGGAGGAAGATAAACTATTGTGTGCACATTGGAAAAGCACTCAATGTGATTCTGCCTTCACAAGTTAAAGTGATTTGTTGTGAAATGTGAAAAATAATGTATGAATTCAGCTAGAATTATTTAATACTGTGTTAGGATAGCAGTCTTGTATTCACTTTCAGAGGGCACAAATGTTGAATGATCTTCCTGAGGCTTGTTAAAATCTATAATGTAAGAGATGTTGAAATGTTGGAATGGGCTTAATAAGAATGAACTTTAATGATCTGCCTAGATAGAGTGGGTGCCTGCTTCCACACTGTGATTTTAAGGGCATCATAAAAATCCCAGTTATTCTGAAAAGTTTTGATACCCACCCACCTACCATCATGATGCCTCTTCTCTTAAACTTGCCATTGACTACTAAATATCTTCAATGGATCCCTTCTCTCTTTCCATCCCTCTCTTCTCTCTGTGGTGTGAAGGCAAGTACAGCATTGAAATTATTTTGAGCATGTGTTACATGCAAACCAGCCAGTTCACCAGTGCTTTATGTATCATTTAGACCAATGGAGGATCTAGTGATCCAACAATTTTGTCTTATTTGAACAATCCATTTGTGTTTCAAAGTTTTAAAAGGATCTAGCAACAATGTATTTTCCTTTACCTTTTATAATTAATTTTCTAATTTTAATATTGAATTGAGTATAATAAACTGATTTATATCTATTTTATATTGTTTTTCTCCCTATTATACATGTAGCTTAACTCTGTATTCTACTCATTAAGGTTTACATAGGTATACACACAGATTCTTTTTGGCTCAGCTTAGTAAAAATCATGCTGCTAACCTTTTGTCGCATTTAACATTTGATTATACTGTTTTTAGGATAACAGGCTATTATATCGAGGTCATACTGATTCACTAAAGTTTGATTTACATTTTTGGTTTTACATATGTGCTCCACAGTTTATTTTTGAAAACTTCTGAAAGTTACAGATACTGTATTTTATTATCAGAGGTAGTTGATTTTACATGACTGATTTAGTAACAGATATGTGTATCTCCATGAACTGTTTTGGACCTCTTCGAAAATGATATAGTGTGATGTTGAAGAAAAACTTCAAACTCAGATCCCTCTATTGATGCATAATAGATGGAGTACATTTGTGTTCTATTATTGACAATGCCCTCCATTAGAAACCAAATGTAACCATTAACAATACAGCACAGTTGTTTAGCTACCAACAGAACAATGAATCTGGTGTTTAAAGCCACAACATCAAGTCGACTTTAAAACCTATACAGTTTTGTTGTGATTGTTGTTAAGTCAGACTGCCTGATTGGAATGCTGAATTTATTTAGTTGCTATATTTTAAGGGGCAAATTACTTAACTTTTTGTGTTTATTTTTCATATTTTAAAACTGGAGCTAGAATTAAGTAAAATAATGCATTTAAAGTACAGTGCCTGGCATATAAGTAATAAGTGCCCAGTAAATATTTAGTAAATGTTGCTAATATCATGATTAGAAGTAAAGATATGTAGGCATAGGAACTACTGGTAATTTTTACTCTTTTATTGTCTTATATTTCTAGGTAGTTACTTTCCACATGGCATTTCAAGAATACGACCTCTTAAGACATGCAGTAGGCCAATCAGGATTGGTTTGTCAAGAAAAGCAAGGGTTAAACAACTTCATCCTTATCTGAAACAAATGTGTTATGAAAACTTAAAATAAGATTTTTGACTTTCATATTTCAAAACATTTTAAAACATCTAGAAATGTTTTGTTTTCTTTGGATAAATGTTCTTCCAGTTTGGGGGCTTGGGGCTTGCTTTATTATAAAGTGGAGAAGGTTTTTTTTCCCCCCCACGTATATATATATAAGTTTATTACCTTTAAAAGTATAAAATATTTTATTGATTTTCATGTCATATAAAAATGTACACATTAAAGCCATTTCATGATTGTATAAAACAAAAATTAGATCTAGATCATTTACTTATGTGTGCTTCTTTAGACATTTAGCTGCCTGACTTGTCAAAAATTAAAATTAGTCTTTTTTAATGAAGAAAAAAAAAGGCAAAACATAATAAAAGGTAGTATGTATTTAAAATTCAATGTCCTATCTCTTATGTCACTTAAAATCTTTGTAAACAACATCAGTATTAAAATTTTATAATGACCTTTTTCTTTTGTGTTAGTAAAAAAAATCTTAGAATTCTCAAAATTTTTATTTTTACCTTTTTGCTTTTATAATTTTCCTTTAAACAGTCTTTTAAACTATATTTACTGATTCATTTTTGAAACGTTAATACCTAGACATGTACAAAATACAAGGATAAAGAACAAGAAAAGAAGCAGTGAATATAAGTCATTTTCTCTTTTTCCACACTCAATTATTCAATTTCTGTTGATGAAGAAAACAATTGTCAACAGCTACTTGCTTCTATGAAAAAGTAATATTTTATTATTGATAAGTATGTAGGGTATTTTTAGTTATCCGTTTTATACCTATACTTTAAAATATGCATAATTGTCTTTGTATCTTTTTCCTTAAATATATATTTCTATAAATAAATTTGGTCATTTTGGTGTACTTAAAAATTTAATAATTTATGCATTTTAACATGTTAAAATTTTAAGTTTAAAAAACTTTTTCAATGTTAACAAACGGAAACTTGAAAAGTAAAATGGGTTTAGTGAATTTGACATTTCCATTAAAATTACATTAATTTCTGATGCAACTTTAGAAATTCTGATTTTTAGCTATTTCAAATATGTTTTTTTTAAACAAAAACCTTTGTAATTCATTTTGCTGCCTGGCTAATTACTATTGTAATTTCTCTCCTTTTTTTCACTGCTATACATCCACTAGCTCAAATTTCTATTTAATTCTTTGTTAAACTTTCATCTATATGTACACACATTCTTTTTCCTCTCTCCTCAGAGTTTTTATCTCTCTGTCTGTCCTGTCTCCTCTCATCAGAAAGAGCACTCAAAACTCAGAGGACTTTGGCCCTTTTTCAGTTTGCATTTTCTTTTATTTCTTTGCATTGTTAGCTGCTTTCTAGTCTTGAAACGTTCACTTTATGATAATACACTACCTTTTATTTTCTTGACCATTGTATCTTTTTTGCTTTCTAATTCTCAGATATAAGGAAACTCCAAAGTTTAGACCATGGACTTATGCTCTTTATTTCTCTATTTCCACTTATAAATCTCATTCATTTTTCTTGGGATTATTTACTGCCACTACATTTATCAACTCTACAGTTTTGGAAACAAATTATATCTATTATATCTCTCTATATATAAATTACAACTCTACATCAACAAACTCTACTGCTTTGGAAACAAATTATATCTTTCAAATTCTAATTTTGGCAGCATAACAATAATTTTAAAAACCTAATATTTATGAAATACATGCCATGGGTTAGGAGCAATTCTAAAACATATGTATATATTAGAGAATTTAATCTTTAAGTAACATCTCAGTCAGATACCATTATTATCTCCATCTTACATTGTGAGTTACATAACTTGTCCAAGGTCACAAAGTATTATGTTGCAGAATCAGAATTCAAACTCATGTAGTCTACCCTATGGCCAAAGCTCTTAACTGTTATATTATATTGTTCTGATTTCCACATTGCTATAGGTCAACAATTTCAAACTCAGTGTCTAAAATCTCATCAGTCATCATTCACTTTACCACTTGACATTTATTTTATATTGTCAAGCTCTGTTACTTCTACCTTCTAGGGAACCCTTAACCAATACATCCTTCTTCATTCTTTAGAGCCTCTATAAAATGTCCTTACCTAATATAACTTTCCAGACTGGCTGCCCCTCAACTTCCCTACAATTTGGCTAGTCTATTAATGCACCACTTTCCTCCAACTAATATCTTCCCATTTTGCTAATCTTTTCCTCTCCTGAGATGCACTTCTCTTTTCCCTGTTTAAATCATATCTGTCCTTAAATGGCCACCTTTATACTGCTTTTCCCAACTACTTGAACATTTTATGATTGCTAAATCCCCGTAATAACGATAGTGTTTCCTTTTAAAATGCATCATCAAGCATTCATTACATCTGCTTTGTGTTTTATCTTTGCCTATCTAAGCTTGTGTATAGAGATCATTTTAGAAACTCTGCAGTGTCTAAGAACTGTATCAGAGCTTTATGCTAAAAAATGTTAATTATATTTGAATATTTAATATAGCATTTATTTCATGGCATCTTATACTTGGTTTTATATTCTTATTGATAAATCTAGTAAGTTTATGGCTTTTTTTTGTTTGTTTGCAGAAGAAAATGTAGCTAAATACAAAGGGGATTTTTGGCACATTTTTGTCTTCAGCGTCCTCTTGCTGACCCTGTCTCCCTCTACTTTTTAGGGCAGCTTCAAAGTACAACCCTGCTTTTTTTCTCACATAGTTTGTATAAGTGCCTTTTAATATTGTAAAGTTTATTCTCTGTAGGTTTATTGCAGAGTTAAAAACGAGGAAACTGAGGCCAGCACAAGAAAATTAGATGCCAATTTATTCAGCTCCCGGGCGAGGTTCTGTGGTCCCGGGGAGAGGGGCCAGGGAAGTCGCGCCTGACTCCTTTCAGGAGTGGGGTTTTATAGGGAGTGAAGGCGGACGATTGAATTTGGAGAAACAGGATGTGGACGGGCTGAGCTGCTATTGGTAGGTAGGTGGGATTTCCAGTGAGCGGGCTAAGTGCTGAGTGCAGAGGGGGTTTCAAAGGGTGGGGTTAGGTGCCGAGTGCAGAGGGGATTTCCAAGGCGGGCTAGGTGCCGAGTGCAGAGGGGATGTCCAAGGCGGGCTAGGTGCCGAGTGCAGAGAGGATTTCCAAGGCAGGGCTAGATGAGGGGCATATTCTGATAATGTAATTTTCAAGTGGGGAGGGAGATGGGCATGTTCAAACTCCCTGAGAGGCAACCAGCCTTACAAATATGACTAATACCTACTCAAATTGAGTTGCACATATTTTTTATCTATCAATAGTATTGATTTTAGACAAAACATTATGAAAATATTTATGTGTTTTTATCAATAGGCAAAAATGAATGTTTCACAAAATAATTTTCCTATGTTTTAAATTTTGCTGTACAAAAATTATACCTTGCAATCTGCTACTCTGCTATCCTTCGAATACTTATCCTTATTATTACTATCATCATTATCAGTCATTAAGTACCTTCATGAAAAGGGGCAACTTGCTAGAAAATATATAGACATAGTATCAATAATCAACATTTGGTGACCACTTATTTGTAAGAACCAAGGGGTTCAGCTTGTTTGCAAGAATCAAAAACAGGACCAAGTGATACTTTTATAGCCTGCTGTAATCGCTGGATCAGTCTTCCAGCTGGTACTTCATTTTAAAATTACTTTATTTGCTTTAAAATTTTTTATTTACTCTTAATTTAGTGGCATGTAGCTCAAATATCTTAGTATACTTTCACAAAATTTCTCTACATATCTCAAATTCCTTCTTTTTTTTCCTTGCAAATGACAAACTACATGCTTATTGACAGACAAATTAATTTGTGGTGGCAGAGTAGTATAAAATTAGCTCAATGTATAATTTTGAGATATATACTGACTTCTCCAAAACTGATTTAATTTACATATAGTTTAAAAACTTGTATTTAACAATAAGCCTTTTTTAACAGGAAATAAGTTTATTGAGCTATAAGTATTTTGATCAGAATAGCAGAAAGTAAGTTGGATATAGGAATATTTTTGAGATATAACACTTTCATTTAGATTAAAACTCTTGTTAAAAAAAGGCAGAGGACAGTTTTTATAAACCATTAACATTTTTATAACACTGTCTTAAAAAAAGTATAGACTTTGTTTTTAGAGTACTTTTAAGTTTATAAAAATATTAAATAGAAAATATGGAGTTCCCATATACTCTCCCCAACCCTCTCTACCCTCTTAACATTTTGAATTGGTGTGGTACCTATGTTACCACTGATAAATCAATATCAATACATCATTATTAACTGACATTTATCATTTACAGTAAGAATTGCTCTTTGTGTTGTAAAGTTCTATGGATTTTGCCAAATGAATAATTTAATGCAACCATCATTGTAGCTCCACACCATATAGTTTCAGTGCTCTAAAAATTTCCTCTGCTCCACATTCCTCCCCATTCCTACCCCAAACCTCTGCAACCCCTGGAAACCCCTGATGTTTTTAATATCTCTATAGTTTTGTTTTTTCCAGAATGTCATATAGTTGGAAGAATACAGTATCTAGCCTTTTATACCACCTTCTTCCATTTAGCAATATACATTTAAAGCTTCTATAATACTAACTTTTCTAGTGGTAGATCTTTTCTTAGTAGAAGACTTATGTCTTAAATGCTGTAGGCCTTAGACTTTCATCATTACATTCTTTTTCAGGAATAAAACAGTTATAGGTCACTTCAAAGTGTGGCTATATCCATTCATAAACTTCTGAAAATATTTTTTCACAGATTTTCCTTATAGGGATTCTGAGCTTCAAGGAAACTATACTGTCAGCATTTACTAAAGCTTCCCAGTGAACACAGGTATTTCACAGCATTTTAAGCCTTGATAAAATGGCTCTAAAGGAGGGTTTATGTTCTATTTTGTTTGCAGAAACTGCACTTAAGAGCAAATGTACCATAGACTAAAATGGTCATTGGTAAGATGCTGCTGTAAAAGTCTATGCTAGGCTTGAAAAAGTCTAGTAAATAAAAATCCAATGTGCTAACTAATATAAGATGTTTTAATGTATTACTTTTGTGATGTCTTGCAAAATGAATGCTCTATGATATG